CAACAGAGGATTTTTCATCCCTGTCACAGAATCCAGGCTAGTGTCCTGCACATGCAGTATATTCAATAAACATGTGCTGAGTACCTATATTTACAAATCACAAGAAGGAACTGGAACTTCAGCAAACAGGAACCTACTAATATCTTGTTTCAGACACCTAGAAGTTGCATGGTGGAAGGGACATTTTTATCATGGGTGCCCATTCTCATCCACCCTCTGGGCTGACCTTAAATTACATGTCATTACCTTTAGCAGTGTTCACTACCCAAGAAGGTCAGCCATTAGAAATGCCAAATTCCCAAGATGATGTTCTGACATTTCATTCTGTGTCAAGTATCCCTAAGCAATGAAAAAAGCACAACCTCCTACCTTCTCAGCAATTAAAAAAAATCAAGCAATCAGATCAGAGATCCAAGGTAAATACAGTAATTCTGAAAGACACCATCGGGAACCATGAACCTGCTTATCTTGTCAGCCAGAGTCTCCAAGATAATGAAGATGACAACAAAGAAAAAGATGGTGGTAAAGGTGAGGTAGAGATAAAGGAGCAGCTCAAAATTAAGTAAAAAAGTCTCTGCCACCTTGTAACTGTTTGTCCAGCAATGAGAACATAAACACATATGATACACTTGGTGACACACAAGCTAAAATAAGACACTTGTGAAATTAGTGCAATTACTAAGGCCTAAGAAGGCTGAACACTTTTTCAAAGCCTCTCCCCAGCAACTGAGTAGTTCTGGATCCAATCCACCACACCTCTCCAGAACTCAGTCTTCAAAATGAAAATAACAAAGCAAGATACTCATCATGCAAACACTTTTCTAGGAGCCACAGATAACTTCCCTCTAGCTTCAGGCACTAATTATCATGCAACAATCATCATAATAAAAGCTCTGGGTATACTGGGTATTTTGTTTCTTGTAGTTTTGTGTTTGTTAGTTGGTTGATGTTGATGTTAATACCATCAGCGTTCACGTAATACAACAATCTGTGGGTAATACTGCACTGTCCAAAAAAACAGTTCAAGAAATCAGCACAAAAGAGGCATACAGACACTTTCACAGAGTTTAGAAAACCAGAGAGCCCCCTGGTCAGTCACAAAACTACCTATATCTCATTTTTCTTGATGTTTAGCTAAACTTTTACATAGAAGAAAAAAACATCTCCAATCATTGTCAATAAATTTCTTGAAGAAAAAGACAAATAGGGCTGGGGGTTTAGCTCAGTGGTGTAAGTGCCAGCTTGGCAAGCATGAGGTCCTGAGTTTGATCCTAGGTACCAAAAATAAAAAGAAAGAAACAAAGAAAAAGACAAACAATCTGAGATAAAAGGGAGAAAAAGATATATCCTTCACAATGACCCACTGTGAAATAACTGCTTTGCAGGAGTCTCTGCCCTCTGAGATTTAGACAAGAAAGTCTGGAATGAATTGCGATCCTCCTCAAGACCTTAGCAGTTAATATAAGGAGCTACTGTGTTACAGATGATAAATGACATATGAAATTTTCTACTGCGATGTTGGTGATATAAAATTTTTCAATCTGTAAAAGTCAGCACACTACATTGCAGCAAATACTTCAAGGATGATGTCCACACAACATAAATGGCAAATGGTAACCACAGAGCATTTCTCCACCCAAGGCAAAAGAAGAAAGATATCAAAAAGGAAAAATTCAGATCTAAAGAAGGGAGGCAGTGAGACCTCCCCACCCATAGCAAAGGTTTAAAGAATGTGAGCACTTCAGAATTACAATCACAGATTCATTTCTACATCTAAACTCTCTGAGGCAATGACTCATTCTGTTTCCTGGAATTCATATATAGATTTTAACTTTACAGTCCTGCTGTAAAAGTCCTTGCCGGATGGTTACTTTAAAAGTAAAAAAGAAAGAAAGAAAAGGTAATAAACTCTCTGAGGTCATGAGAGTAGAGCTCTTAAGCAATGTCCATCTTTTGGAAACAGCCATCAAATTTAGTTCAAGTGATAAAATATCCAGCCGATTTTCTTAACATTGGTGCGGAGCGCTCACGTAATGCAGTAATCTGTGTATGGGTTACACTGCGCTTTTCAGTGTTTATCTTTTTACCTTACTCCCCAAGCCTTGCCCAAAAGGAACAGTAAGCTGTGAGAGGTACATGACTTCTTCAGTGGACGGTTATCTCAGAGGAGTTATCTGCTGAACATTAAAGTTTTTAATTACTTTCCTGTGCTGATATGACTTTTTATTAAATGCCAATTATTTTCCTGCCGTCTGGGCTTCTCAGCAAAAGAAGTGCTAGGCTCGTTCAGCAGCACTGGAGGAATCAATTCTCCCCAAACTGGTCACTTGCACAGTTTATTTGCTAAGTTTCTTTGGAAAGATGTGAAAAGAAATGCTTCCCTGGAAAAAGAAGCGATGTTATTCTGATTTTTGTTTTACGACATCAGTTTTCTGAAAAACAGCTAATGTGGGCTACCTAGGTATGACCAACACCATGAATTATCTACATACACCTACCATCAGCACAAACCCTCCTCCCTTTCCAAGCCTACAGTTCCAAGCTAGACTCATATTCCAAAGTCCAACTCCTTCTTGCCATATGGACTTCAGTTGCATAATTACTCAAGTCTTAGAAAACCACATGACTGAAGCAAAGAAGCCATCCAAGTTCGGGTTTCCTCACTCTTCTCAAACCATACTTTTTAATTTACCCTTAATGATCTTTCTGCCATGTCATCCAAATCAGGAAAAATTAGTTAGGGTTAACCTTCATGGAGCAAGTATTTTAAACTGTGCTGAGCCAATGAGTTAGAATGATGAATTAATGGAACATAAAATTGCTCTTCAAACAACACATGCATGCACACACTCTCTCTCTCTCTCTCTCTCTCTCTCTCTCTCTCTCTCTCTCACACCTCAACCCAAACATAATAGTGGTTTATTACAAGTCTAAAGAAGACAATGATATTTTGACCAGAAAATTTCCTCATTTGCCATTTTTTCCTGGAGGACGAACACAGAGAAAAATAAAAATGGTGTGGAAGGCTTTGCATCATGGATCAGAATGGATCACACATCTTATAAGTTACAATCCACTTTTTTCTCAGAAGTTTTCTTACTGGAAGGGCATTTCAGCAGTGGCCCAGGCCTGCCCTCCTGTATTAATAGTCACTCAGCATTAATTCCTAAAGGTTCCTGGGGAAGTGAGCTGCTGTTCGAAAAGCAAACGTGTCCCAAAGAGAAAATAAATGCTCTGCATGTGTGAAATCTGCGACGGCTTTATCTCTATCCCGCATTTTAAATAAATGTTCTAAATGGAAAAATACAAAAACTGCAAAGAAAATCTTCAAAAGTGGCTGCATTCACGACAAATAATTGTCCACAAAACACATCAGAAAAACATTCTGTTTACAAATTACCAATGCTAAATAGTATTCATTCAGGGTTAGATGTCCCTTTATTATATAATAAATTAACACAGTTTAAATATTGTTTTAAAATAAATAGTAAAATTCCCATAAAGTTTAAAGACCCTTTCAAAATAAATTTTAAGGATTTTTGGTACTAGATACTGGAGCATAACTTACCACAGCTCATGTCTTTCATTATATATCAATGCCTTTTATAAATATACACAAGTCATTCTCCCCAGCATATCAGACAACAAAATTGATGGGTATATATGTAACTATTGTATTTCTGCCAGTTGGGAAATTATACTCTTTGCACACACATGATGTTTAAGAACAGCACCAACAGATGATGCAGGCTCTTCACCACCAAAATAAATGAGAACAAAAACTGCAGATACCGGCACTACAAGGGAAATTTTCCCACCACAGGGAATTAACTGTCCTTATTTAAAACATGTTACAATTTTTGATCCAAGCAAGACTCTTTTCTAACTCAGAACAAGTTGAATGAACATATTATACTGGCCCATCAAAACAACAGGCTCTTTTTTACCCCCATCTTTTAGGAATTGCAATTTTTCTGAAGATGATTTTACCATAGACTTAGCCTGTTCTATGAAATTACAAGTCATGTCATGCTGGGTAGAAAAGTACAGTGATCAGAGAAAAGGCTCTGAAGTCAGACAAACAACATGGGTTGGACCTGCCACCAACAACTAGGACCTATCTATCCTTGGGACAATTACCTAAGTCTCTTCATCTGCAGTGGAGTTACTGCAATAAATATCTTCTAGCTGTGCGTTACTAGGGCAGTTACTGTAATAACTATCTGCTAGTTGTGAGTTACAAAAGCAGTTATTATAATAACTATCTCTGAGTTATAAAAATTGAACATTGCTCAAAGTAAGCACTCAATGATAGATGTATCATCTTCTTCATAATCATTACTGGAAACTTCAAGAATTTTAATCTAAATAAATAGTTTTTTTAAAAAAAAAAAACACCACTACCATTGGTATTTTGTTGCAACAGCTTCTACAGAGACTCCAGACTTTGTGCTGGTATTTGTTTAATTCAGGTAGATACAATGATTCAGCACACGCTGATCTTCCTTACCTATCACTGACTGAGCTCAGCATTTCACATGGATTATTTCATCTCCACAGTAACTGCCAGATGAGGTTTATTATCATTCCCATTTTAAAAATAAGGAGACCGAGATTAGAGAATTTAAACACTAACCTAAGGTCAGCTAGTAAGAATTGGATCTGTGATTTGAGCTCAGACAATCTCAATTCAAAACTTTCAGAGCTAACCTATTAATAACAGTTTCCTTAAATTACAAAGAAAAAATTGTAGGTGGACTAAAAATTCTTGGGACTTTAGCAACTTGTAGCTATTCACTTCCAAAAGACTTCTATGAAACACCATTGCGTATTCTGAAAATCAGTGAGTTTCTAAATAACAAGTCTCTAAATTAAAAGAGAAGTACACTGCAGACGTGCTCAACTCTCACAGTTTATGCGAAGGTTAAAATGCACCAGGCCAACTGCAAGAACAGAAAAGAAAAACTTAGAAGAGAGGAAAGAATCAAAATCACTGTTACCTGTCACTTGAGCTGAGGGGATGAAGTTGAGAGCCAAGAGCAGCAGCCTGAGCACCATTGTCCTCCTCGGCCCGGGCTCCAGGCCCTCCTCCCCGCGGGACCCAGGTGCAAGGCGAGCCGCAGATACACCTGCCAGGCCTGAGAGTCTCAGTCATCCACAGCCACCACCAACTGACTCCCTGGAGGGCACATGATCAAGGGACCCAAACCGCAAGGCGCTGCAACTTTCACACAGGATGTTACATTGTTTTGATGACTTTAGGCTTCTACATGTTCTTTTAAAAGCAAGCCTTTTCTTGTCACTGAAAAAGAGAACCAATCGCCGTGTGATGCACTAACTTCAACTGTTGGGGAGCAGAATTCTGAAAAGGGGTACCCAGGATCCAACAGGGTCTCAAGAGTAGCTACACAAAGTGAAGTTTAAAAAAAAACTAAGAATTGAATTGACAGCCTCACGCTTATCTGCCACCAAGATATATCCCAAGCCTCTCATTCATTCATTCATTCATTCATTCATTCATTTATGACAGTTTCATCAAGTTGGCCAGGTTGGCATCAAACTCATGATCCTTCTGCCTTAACAAGGTGTTCTAAAGAAGGAAGGAACTCTCTTGCTGAGGAGAGATTTTTACAGGATGGGAAGAGGTTGTGTCAAAAAATATAATGAGGGATAGAAATACTTAATATCCATGTAAGGGCTTAAACGAGTTTTGAAGAATATTTGAAATTTAATACTTGTGTGGGTCATAAGGTGGCCCCATCAAGAGTTTAGCACACCTTGCTTGGTTTCTGCCAATCTTGCCCCAACTGACTTCCAGGAACTGTGCAAATAATACCCAAGCTGCAACCCCTCGCCAGCTGTGCCTCTGCAGGAGGCTCCCCAAGCAGAGTGTCAAAAATAACCTGATGTTCTTAGAGGGACAGAAACGCTGTGAAAAACCCCAAGATATTTCATGCTGTTTGCTGTCTCAAAGAATCACCCCAGGTGAAGTGCAGCTGTGAGAGCTCCACCTCGGCTGGGGGTTCCTCCCCACTCAGGCCTCATGTGGAGGGGAGCAGGAGCCCCTCCAGGCAGGGCCTCTTTTCCAGCCCTTGGTCAGTGTCTCACACTCATCAGCCTTCTCCAGACTTCTCCAATAATTTGTTTCTCTTTTCCTGACAATCTGAGCTTTATGTAATTACCATAGTTTGTGGTTCTGTGTGTCTGTTTCTCAAGATAATTTGTATTGCTTTTTATTCTGACCATAAAAGACATATTCCATATTTTTAAAGGTTAGAAAAAAGATTAATATTAAAATAAGAGTCACCTATACCTTTGCCACCTTGATGTAAATGCTGTTAATATTCTGATCCATTTCCTTCCATCTATTTGGTTATTAAGATTTTTACACATTTAAACATCACATTTTTGTTATACTTTTCAACAGATATATACTATTATCTATTATATGTTGAAATTTTTCCATGTGAATTAAGCATTTGTATATTTAAAATAAATTTATTTTTTAACTAGTACATGAAAACCACACACATTCCCTATCTATGATGTTTTGATGCATGCAGGCACTGCACAATGTTTATTTTTAAATCAGGTTAAGCATATTGTCTCCTCAAACACTTATCATTTGTTTATGATGAAAACATTCAAAATCTTTTCTTGTTGAACTGTGCAGTGCATTATTTTTATCTGCGGATACCCCACCATGCACTTGCGTGCTCAGCTATGACTTAGTTCCCATCAGTCCACCTCTCTTCATCCCTCCTTTCCAACCTACTCTTCTCAGGATGTGGTAACTACCCTTCTGTGCTCAATTTTTATGTGATCAACTTTTTTATATTCCGTATCTGAGTGAGACTATGCAGTCCTTGTCTGTCTGGGTCTGGCTTAGTTCCCCTAAAATAATGATCTCCAGTTCCATCCATATTGCTGCAAATAATAGAGCTTCATTTTTTATGAGTGAATAGTGTTCCACTGTGCACATGCACCATGTATCCTTAATCCGTTAACCAGCTGATGGACACTTAGGTTGTTTCCATTTCTTAGCTATTATGAATTTTACTGTGATAAATATGGATGTGTAGGTCACTTCTTACATTTCCTTTGAGTACAGACCCAGAAATGGGGATTTCTGGGTCATATTGTAGTTCTTTTTTTCAACAATTTAGACTGAACCCAGGCACATCCTCAATTCCTTTTTATGTTTTATTTTGAGACACAATCTTGTTTAGTTATTAAATTGTCCAGGCTGGACTTATACTGTAGTGCTCAAATTTGCAATCCTCTTGCCTCTGGCTCCCACAGTGCTGGCATTACAGGTGTGTGCCACTACATCTGGCTTTATTTTTAGTTTTTTGGGGAATCTCCATAATCTTTCTCCTAATGGATATACTAAATTACATCCCCGCCAACAAAGTACAAGAGTTTCACTTTCTCCACATTCTTACCAGCATTTATCTTTTTTGTCTTTTGAGCAATCACCATTCTTTCTGCAGTGAGGGAGTATCCTGTGAGTTTGATTTGCATTTCTCTGATGATTAGTGATGTCGAGCATTTTCCATATACTTGTTGGCTATTTATGTCTTCTTTTGAGAAGTGTCTATTAAGATCGGTTGCCCGTTTTTTAATCAGATTATATATTAGCCAGCTTTTTCTTTATTGCACAAAATATACAACCTCCACAACTTAAGGAAGGAGAGTTTAATTTGAGTCGTAGTTTCAGGGATTCAGTCCATTGTTGGCTGACTCCCAGACAGAAACATCATGCAGAAGGGTGTGCTGGAGCAAAGCTGCTTAGCTGACAGTGGCCAGGAAGCAGAGCAGGGGAGCAGCACTAGGTAAGGAAGGGCTAGGGACCTGGTACCACCCCAGGTCACACCTCTGTGACCACCTCACACACCCAGAAGTGTGCTCTCTATCCCTTTGGCGGTTTCCAAGCCAACCAAGTTGACACAATGAAGCTTAACCACCACAAGTTATTCAATTTTTTTCCACTGAGATTTTGGAGGTGTCTTTGAAGTTCGTGTCTCAAATATTTCCACCCATCCCAAAGTTACCTCTTCTCTTTGTTGAGAGTGTCCTTTGCTGTGCAGAAGCTTCTAAATTTGACATGACATTTTTCTGATTTTCTTTTTATTTGCTTTTCTTTTGGGATCTTCTCCAAAACAAAATAAAACTTTGCCCATTCTAATGTGCTTAAGCTTAAATGTTTTACATAAAGGTCATTTTAATTGATGGATAGTAGTCCATTCTGCCCTTCAGTGTAGCTACTTTTTTTTCTTTTTTTGGAGGGGGAGGGGTACTTGAAATCAAACTCAGGATCTTGTGTTTTGCCAAGCAGGCACTGCACCGCTGAGCTGCATCTCTGACCCTTTTGCCATTTTAAAATGTTATGGTAAATATCTTTGATGACCTACCCATAAGTGGAGGCAGTTTTCATATCCTTCCCTCCTAATTTGATAAACGAGATATCAAAATCATTTCCTCTCCTAATTGACCTCTTCAGTCTACATTTCAATTTTCTCACAAATACAATCTTTGTGACCCTCCCACATTGACATATCTTTCAGCTGTTTGGAGCAATTTGTCCTTGGCATTAATTCAGTTACACTGCTGAACTACAGGAAAAGTAACACAGTCATATCCCCAGTCCTAGAAAACATCTGCTTCTAAACTTTAATCCAGGGCTCCCAGTTGGGTTAAAAGATCGAAAGATTTCTTCAGGACAAAAAGCTAAAAATGTGTGGTACCATTCAATTACAAGACACCCAGCAGGGTGTGACATTAGAGCCCGAATGACCAGAGTCACTTAGGGGAGGCAGGAGTGGCTTCCCAAATGACATTGGGAAGGCATAATTAGACTGTGTCCTAAAAATTCACCTGTATTTTTCTGCAGTGATTCTAAATTTCTTTGGTCTATCCACGTTCTTGAAATTTAAAGACATACACATCATGATGGAACAAACTACAGTACCTTAACCAATCTGTAAGTTAGCAAAGTCCTAAACACAAGGCATGTTGGAGAAACATGTAACAGGCCACTAAACACAAGAGGAGTTTGACCTGGGAGTAGGCACAGAGAAGTAAAAACTGAATTTCACTACTCACTGCTCTTTGTCTAGGATGTTTCTCTGTGATTGTCTAAGTAAATTACACTCATCCTTCCAGGGTCAGAGTAAATAGGACCTCCTCAAAGATGCCTTCTCCAGCCGCTCCCCCCATACACACACACACACTCCCTGCTTCCCATCCACTTAACCCACACCTCCCAGCTACTGTATCCATCAGTCTCTCCTGGCTCACATTAGGAATTGTTTAGCCACACACTGGCTCACATTAGGAATTGTTTAGCATCTGTGTCCCCATCAGATTATAAACCTGAGGGTCAAATCCAGGTCTAGATTCTACTTCTTACTTTAAATACAGAAGAGGAAAGTTAACTGACTTGAAAATTCCAGTGGCTAAAAGCATAGGATTTGAAGTCTCACAGCCCAGGAGCAGGAGTTGTTCAAAGCCCATTTGGGCCAATTTCTAGCATATGCTTTCACAGAGTCCTAGACCCAATTCCTCTCATAGAAAATAAGGGCAAAAATAGCTCACTTGATATATCATTCATACATCACACAGTGAGAGTCTCCCCAACCCCTAAGATGGAAGCAAGATTTAATGAACCTCCATCTCACACTTCTTGTAGGAGGTGAATAAATGCCTATTGGATAGATCACTGAATACACATATGATATATTTATGTGGGATGACTTCACTTTACAGCATGAGTGCTGTCAGAACCCTGGTTTAAAAATTAGTTTTATACTCTTCCTTGATACATAGTCCTTCAGTAATAATTTAAACCCCCATAAGCTACAAAGTAGAAGCAGCTTCAAGAATTACAGTTGTCAAGCTATAAGTTGTTATAAATTGTCAATGGAAAACCCTGTGGTTCCTCCAACATACAGCAAACCTAACAGGATAATGTCTTCTTTCATCTAAATTCCAGCTAGAGGGTTGCCTCCATTCTCATTTCCAATTTTCTCCAATGCTCTACCTTACAGAGGTCCTAACACTTACGTGGTGTTTGTGGAGGAAAAACAGATGAAACCTGAGATTCTCTCTTGGAACTTTTTAGCATAATTCCAGCTGTTAATATAAAAAAATCAGTCCAATTATAGGCAAAGTTGAAGTTTAAAAAGGTGTATGTAATCCCACAAATAAGCAGAATCAAAGTATTAAACAAACAGCAAATAAAGCCAAACC